TGGCGACGGCCTCCTCTTCTTCCGAAATCAGATCCTCGGGCGCGCCCCCAACTACGAAGAGCACTCTCTCGTCGTCCATGCATTTGAGGGCCCCAGTCAGGACCTCGTCTTCCTCGTAGAACCCGGGCAAAGTAAACGGAGACTCTTCCATGAGAACCCACTGAAAAGTATCGCGATCAGTCCACGCATCCGTCTTCGTCTCCTTGGTGCCCGACGAAGTGCGATCAGGAACTCCCTCAATGGGTACAATAACCGCCTTTACCTGAGGGCGGTGGTCGCCCAAGCTTCCGGAGCTTCTCGCACGCCAAGTCAAAGTCAGATGGCCCCTCAGTCGAGTACTCAACCGTATCCCAAGCAGCTTCACTGAGCTTGGATTACGTGCGAAGCATGTACCTTTTCAATTCCCCCGGAATGGTCAAGTGCTTCTCGAGTCCTCGGAAGAGCACTCGCTTGCGAGCGATGTAATTGACCAGGGTCTCGTCTCGTGTACGCTTGGCGTCGTCAGAATAGACAAATTTGTTTCAACAGCCTTGAGCATCCTGCGGTCTTGGTACTCGGCTAAAGCCGTCTTGAAACGTTTGACAACAACCTGCCCGCTCTCCTCCGAAGACGGCTGGTCTTTGGTGACGACGTTGATGATGATATTGAAGCCATCCTTGGCGTGGCGGTGAATGAGAGATATCCGCGTGTGCCTTCGGGATTGTGGCAATAGCGAGCCACATCTGCAGCTCCTGCATGTAAAGATCTAAGCGAATATCACGTTCTCTTCCGTCCGATATGGGAAATAAGTCGCATGGTATCTGAAGGTCTCCGAACACCCAGGAAGTTGATTGTGCCCTCTGGCGATCAAAAGATCTGGCAAGGGTATCCCCCCAACAAGACGGAGCGAACGGAATGAGAAAGGCATGGCCTGTCCCCTCAGAGGGATGTTCAGCCGATCTCGCGCAGCCGGCGGACCACGGCCCCGCGCGTTCCAAACTGATGAGGATGATTGCGTGTTAGGCTGTGTGTCCGTCCAAATCTGTGAGAACTAGCGGGCCCAGTCTTGATGTGACCAGCACACATCGTTATCACCTTCCGAAAGAAAATTGTATAGTCCTCCGCCTCCTGCCCAGGGATCCTGTCCTGGCTGTAACCAAGGATCCGCTGGAAATTCATTTTCTCGAGGCTGATCGTCTGGAAATCCATGGCGGCGCTCGGCGCAAGATTGTAGGAAACGGGAATGACGGAATAATAATATGGAATATGTCACCCGGGAGTCCAATGACAGGGGGGTCGGCCTGACTCCCCTCGTGGACCGCAACCACGGGCTCTGCTGCCACTGTGGAATGTACGGGAATAACTGTACGGAATACAAAGAGACACGTAGTAGCACAACTAGAGGAACCCGTGTTGTTAGAGAGCACGTTTTTTGTTCCTTTTACGGGGCCAGGGCGCGCCCATCGCCTGCGCGCCGAGTGACTCAAGGGCCCATGTGAGCCACAAAAGCGGCACACAAAGCAGGTGGGAGACAGGCGCAGGAGGAGGAGAGGCTGACATGGGCATGACAACCAGAGGGGGGTAAAAAACTACAGGGGCGGGGGCGAGAGCGGGAGGGGAGGGGCGGGAGCGGGAGCCGGGGGGCGAGGGGCGGGCAGAGAGCGCGGGACCGCATGCGAACCCCATCTCCTAGATGGGGTCCGAGTAGATGGGGTCGGGAGATCGCGCCGCATCGCCAATGCATCGCCGATGCATCGGCGATGCATCAGCGATGCACGGGCGATGCATCGCCGACGTCGGCGATGCATCGGCGCCGTCGGCATGGCGGAAATCGGGCTCCGCATCGAGCCGCATCGCCGATGCATCGGCGATGAGGCGCGATCCTGCGACCCCGCCTACTCGGACCCCATCTGGGAGGCGTACATGGGGGGGGTCTGATAGGCGCAAGCTGGCGGGGCGGCTGGACTCTCATTTGACGGGGTGCCGAGCCGGGCCTGCCGGGCCGGCCAGATCAGAAATTGGCTTGGCCACGGCTCAGCCGACGACCTGAGGGGGCGCTGAGCCAGAGGGCCAAGGCAGGGGGATCGTAAGCATGAAAGCTCGGAGGTCTGGGGGGATTTCTCGGATCGGCGCTGAAGCTCCTTGGCGGCGCCTCGGGCGCCACCCATGGCGCGCTCTGCGCGCCAAGGAGGGGGGTCCAATACCGATCCGAATCCGCGCGGACCTCCGATGTCAGTCTCTCTTTCCCGTTGAAAGACTGGCGGGCGTCGATTGGACCCGCAGAAGTAATGTTCGATGGAGGTCGCAGAGAGATGGAGTGGGAGTAGTCCAGTGACAGAAGTAGGAGCTTACCGTCTGTATTCCAACGTGGTGTCAACCGACATGCGTGCCAAACACAAGCCGTCGCTGTAGCCCTGCTGCGGCCTGAAGCCACGCGGCGAGTCTCTCAAAGAGTTCGTCTGCCCCTCCTTGTTAAAGTCTGTTGAGCAGAGTGCAAAATGCCATCAAGAACTTGTACCACATACAAGTCCTTGGAGGCCCCAAAGAAGGCCCAAGGAGGGATGCTCTGGTGCGAATTACGCTACCGAGGAACCCCACATACTTAATTTAAATCTCATGTGTTTGCTTAAGTTTATGATATATGCGCAATTCTGCGTTCTCAGCCCTCGTCGCGAATGATCCCCTATGTGTCATCCAACGCCATATTGCTTGAACCTCCTCCCTCTTCCTAGCCTTCTATCCTCCATCGAGGACAGATTCGAGCCAGCCAGCGGCCGCGGTGAGGGACCACCCCCTGCGCACCCTCTATGGTGTCGAGAAAATACCACGCCTGCTATGCCCTGGGCAACCGTCGTGCATAGCGGCCGCGGTGAGGGACCACCCCCTGCGCAGCCTTTATGGTGTCGAGAAAATGCCGCGCCTGCTATGCCCTGGACGACCGTCGTGCATAGCGGCCGCGCTGAGGGACCACCCTCTGCGCACCCCCTGTGGTGTCGAGAAAGTGCCACTCCTGCCACGATCTGCGAGCGTGTCACGGATAGAGGCCGCGCTGAGGGACCACCCTCTGCGCACCCCCTGTGGTGTCGAGAAAGTGCCACTCCTGCCACGATCTGCGAGCGTGTCACGGATAGAGGCCGCGCTGGGGGACCACCCTCTGCGCACCCCCTGTGGTGTCGAGAAAGTGCCACTCCTGCCACGATCTGCGAGCGTGTCACGGATAGAGGCCGCGCTGAGGGACCACCCTCTGCGCACCCCCTGTGGTGTCGAGAAAGTGCCACTCCTGCCACGATCTGCGAGCGTGTCACGGATAGAGGCCGCGCTGAGGGACCACCCTCTGCGCACCCCCTGTGGTGTCGAGAAAGTGCCACTCCTGCCACGATCTGCGAGCGTGTCACGGATAGAGGCCGCGCTGAGGGACCACCCTCTGCGCACCCCCTGTGGTGTCGAGAAAGTGCCACTCCTGCCACGATCTGCGAGCGTGTCACGGATAGAGGCCGCGCTGAGGGACCACCCTCTGCGCACCCCCTGTGGTGTCGAGAAAGTGCCACTCCTGCCACGATCTGCGAGCGTGTCACGGATAGAGGCCGCGCTGGGGACCACCCTCTGCGCACCCCCTGTGGTGTCGAGAAAGTGCCACTCCTGCCACGATCTGCGAGCGTGTCACGGATAGAGGCCGCGCTGGGGGACCACCCTCTGCGCACCCCCTGTGGTGTCGAGAAAGTGCCACTCCTGCCACGATCTGCGAGCGTGTCACGGATAGAGGCCGCGCTGGGGACCACCCTCTGCGCACCCCCTGTGGTGTCGAGAAAGTGCCACTCCTGCCACGATCTGCGAGCGTGTCACGGATAGAGGCCGCGCTGGGGGACCACCCTCTGCGCACCCCCTGTGGTGTCGAGAAAGTGCCACTCCTGCCACGATCTGCGAGCGTGTCACGGATAGAGGCCGCGCTGGGGGACCACCCTCTGCGCACCCCCTGTGGTGTCGAGAAAGTGCCACTCCTGCCACGATCTGCGAGCGTGTCACGGATAGAGGCCGCGCTGGGGGACCACCCTCTGCGCACCCCCTGTGGTGTCGAGAAAGTGCCATTCCTGCCACGATCTGCGAGCGTGTCACGGATAGAGGTCGCGCTGGGGGACCACCCTCTGCGCACCCCCTGTGGTGTCGAGAAAGTGCCACTCCTGCCACGATCTGCGAGCGAGTCACGGATAGAGGCCGCGCTGGGGGACCACCCTATGCGCACCCCCTCTGGTGTCGAGAAAGTGCCACTCCTGCCACGATCTGCGAGCGTGTCACGGATAGAGGCTACGCTGGGGGACCACCCTCTGCGCACCCCCTGTGGTGTCGAGAAAGTGCCACTCCTGCCACGATCTGCGAGCGTGTCACGGATAGAGGCCGCGCTGTACTGCTACGCACGCATGGCAGGCGCGTGTATCATGTGCGCGCCTGCCGTGCGTGCGTGCTGCGATGTGCGTGAGGTGAGACAGAAGGAGAAGGAGAGGGAGGAGAAGGAGAAGGAGAAGGAGAAGGAGGAGACGCGGGTGAGACGCGGAAGGGAAGAAAACCAGAACCCCACGAAGCATGTGGGGAAGAAAAAAGGTTATGATGGAAACGGGTTCACTACCCCTGGGCTTTTCCCCACGACCAGCTCATCATCCCGGGTCGGTTTCTCAAGCTCTCGAAACCTGGGGAAGGCCTGGCGAAAAGGGAAACGTCGAAAAAACCTCTGGGGCCCCGTCCCGGACCCTCGTCCTCCATGCTGACCCCGACTGCGCGGCCTCCCCGTCGCCACGACCGAGGGCGGGGCGGAGCTGAAAACGTAAGACGAAACCAGGATCGGGACAACATCGGATAGGGGTGTATCGGGGATCTCTGAGATCGGGCGGGTTCCGGAGGACGTATCGGGCGCCGCGGCACTGAGAGCGTTCCGGAACGCTCTGGAACGAGTCGTCCCCGTCCCTGGCCCCGCCCGAGAACTGCCCGCCCATCTCGAGCGTGCCCAGGCGTGGGCCGTTGCTGCTCGCCTCGCGACGCGGAATGATGCCCGGGTCCTCGGGGGCGAAAAGAGAGCACAGCAGAGTTGGGGGGGTACGATCGAGGGCGTCCAAGAGGAGGGAGGCTCGCAAATCATGGCCCGAGGAATGGGGGCGGACGAGGGGCGCACCAGGGCACGTGCTGAAGCAAGAAGAAGACGCAAAATCCGAGGAGATATCATGGCCCCGGCCATTATGTCCACCCGCCCGCAGTCATGACCCCCCCTCTTGGCCGCCCACGACAACACATAAGGGTCAAGGAGGTCGCCATAGGGCAAGGTGGGAGAGAGTCAAACGAGAGTCAACTGAGGATAAATCCGGAGTAGGACAGAATGGGAACCTCCGAGAGCTGGCGGGTCTGGAGGATGTACCGGGCGCCGCGGCCGGAACGCTCCGGCGCGGTTGAACCTCATCCTTGGCCTGCCTGATAAAAATGGCGGCGGAAAGAAAGCGTGCTACATCCATCTCGGAATCGCACGCTATTCCCCAAAAAACCCAACGATGGAAGATTCGAGCTAAAATGTACATGTTCAGCATGTTTTGTGGACAGATGTGGGGATAGCGTGCAATTCGGTTTCGGGGATAGCGTGCCACGTCGCTTTGCTTCAAGATGGGTGCCTGCCTGGCCTGTCCCCCGCGGGGTTAGCAACCTGGATTAGCAGCCTCGTTACGACCAGAGTGGCCAGATTGGACCTTGACTCCCTGGGGGCTGCCAAATGCACAGCTGCCGCCAGTTCGTGAGCTCTTTGGAGGTCCAGCGGTGGGCGACGGCAATGCGAGCATCCAAACTGGCTATGCGAGCATCCAACTATGCAACTCCGCAACTTTCGTCGCTTTCGTGGGCTCCTGGGATGTCCAATGGAGAGCGGCCTTACAAAGATCCAAACAGGACCGTCCCTTCCTGGGGGGGGGGCAACTGCGCGAGTTTTGCCAGTTTCGAGGGCTCCTGGGACGTCCAGCAAGGAGCGGCCTTACGGAGATCCAAAATGGAACGCCACTCCCTGGCGGTTGCCAACTGCTTACTTTCGCCGCTCTCGTGAGCCCCCTAGGACATCCAGCTGATGGCGGAAGGCTTGAAAAAGAAGGAGAACGAGAGCGAATTCGGCGGACTGTCAAACGAGGCTTGAAACAGATTTTGGAGCGGGAGGAGCGAACTCGGGGGACAGTCCAACGAGGATCAAGCCAAAATGAACCAACATGAGAAGGAGGACGGAGATGGGGAGGAGAAGAGGACGGGGGAAAAAACGTGGCATGGCTTCGTGACACGGCGATGGAAGCAACGTGCCAACGGGCGGGCACCGGGCGAAACCTCGTCAGCGGGATCGCCTCACGGACTTAGCGTGCAGCCCGCCCCACGCTATCCCCGTCGATTTGGCGACAGCTGTGGAGCAGGTGGAGGAGGCGCCCACGCACGGGCGCCTTCTTCTCCTCCTCCTCCTCATCCTCCTCCTCCTCATCCTCCTCATTCTTTTTTTTCTTCTCCGCTTCCCACCTCCTCCTCTTCCTCCTCCTTTTCTACACTGACAAGAAACACGGGACGCGTAAATGGAATACAAAAAGGTGTCCTATCGAATTGGTCTCTATCAGTGCGCTGTTTTCCGAAGCTGGTTTGGTTTGATGTACGTCTGTTGTGTCCGTGTCCAACTGTTTTTCTTGCTTGCTTACTGTTTTCAATATCCTGCCAGTCTTCTCCGTTTATATCGTGTACGCCGTCTCGTCTGGGCCGTCTCGGCCCCAGGCAGTTTGCGCCGAGCTGGAGGTTCAGCGTGCGACGGGGGGGCTCGCGAACCCCGCCAACTCGGCGAGCACTCCTGGGGCTGAGATGGACCAAACGGGAAGGCGCCCACGGTCACGGAAAAAAACAACCCGAAAACGGAAACACCAAACGGAAAAGAAACGAACCCACACATGGAAAACAAAAAGAAGCGGAACACACACACACACATGGAGCATGCAAATGGGAAGCATAATGGTGTCCCATCAGATTGGTGTCTGTCAATGCGTTCGTGTCTGGGTTGGTGTGGTGTCCGTTTGTCGTACACGCGTCAAGGCGCTCTTTTCTTTATTCCTTTCCGTCTCTATGCTGTATGTTCCGTTTGTTTCGTGGGCGCAGTCTCATCTGGGCCGCGCTAGTCCCAGGCAATTTGCGCCGAGCTCTGGGCTTAGCGTGCCAAGCGCGGGCACGCTGACCCCGGCAGCTCGGCGAACAGATCCCGGGGCTGAGACAGCCGAATTGACGGCTCCCACGAACACGAAAATTACAGCCATGACACAGAAACAACAGAACATCATACACGGGAAACAGAACAACACAAAAACAAACATTGGAATACACACACATAAAGAAAACAACATCATGCACAACCAACTTGGCTTCTTTCGATGCTTTTTGTTCCGTGTCTGGAAAATAGACGTTCCGTGTATTGTTTCCGTGTCCGGCAGTTGTTTCTGCTTGCGTTCTTTATCGTTTTCCGTATCTCTTTTGTCTTTTGCGTGTATTCTCGTGGGCGCCGTCTCGTCTGGGCCACCTCAGCCCAAGGCAAGTTGCGCCAAGCTGGAGGCTTAGCGTGCCACGCGCGAGCACGCTAACCCCGCCAGCCCGACGAACACCTCCTAGAGACGGAAAACAAAGACACATCACACACAAATAGAGCACACAAATGGTAAACAAAAGGGGATCACATCGAATGGTTGCTCTGTCATTGTTTTGTTTTCTGTGTCTGGGTTGGGTTGCTTAAGTTTGTGGCTTCCGTGTCTGAAATATAATTTGTGTTGTGTGCGTCTTGTTTTGCGTCTCCCGCCATGTTCCTGGTGGACGGCGTCTGGGCTGTCTCAACCCCGACCATTTCGTGCCGAGCAAGAGGGCTAGCGTGCCACGCGCGGGCACTCTGTCCTAGTGCATTGGCTTCTGCCAGTAGTTTGCTTTCCGTGTCTGGGTTGGTTTGTCTCCCGTTTGTTGTTTCCGTGTCCGGATGTCTACTCTTGCATGGTTTCAAGAGTGCGCCTGCCTTGCCTTTTCTTCTGGTGGGCACCGTCTCGTCTGGGCCACCTCAGCCCCAAGCAATTTGCGCCGAGCTGGAGGCTCGTGACGCGGGCACGCTAACCCCGCCAACTCGGCGAGCATCTCCTGGGGCTGAGACGGCCCAGACGAGACGGCGCCCACAGCCCATACATTCAACCCAGAAATGGGAACCAAACAGACACGGGAAACAACAAAAGGAACGCACACAGGGAAGACAACACTGGCACCATATTGGTCACCACCTGATCACCAGACGTGCACCACCATGGTGCCAGTCGGCCAGAAAGTGCACCAAGACGGTACAATATGGTGCAAATCTGATAGCCCTATGAAGTAATATGCTGACTCTCTGGTGCCAATGTGGTAAAATCTGGCACCGATCTGGCACAATATGTTGCAAATCTGGCACAAGCTGGCACCGTATGGTGCCAATCTGGTACCAATCACAGAACACCAGATTGACACGAATTTGTTTCTGGTTGGTGCCAATCAGATGTGGTGCCAGATTGATACACCTTTGTACCTGATTGTTACCACATTGTCCCAGATTGGTACCCGACTTTACCAAATTGTCGCAAAATCAAAGCAAATGGGTACCAAGCCGCACCAAATTGGTACCAAATTGGTACCAGCTCTGCTCGACTGATACCGCTATGGTGCCAATCTGGTAACGAATCTGATCAATTTTGGATCAACCTGGTATCAATATGGTACACATCTGGCACCGTATGATATCGATCCGGTATAAGCTTGAACAATGTGGTGCCAATGTAGTACCAGTGGGGCACCGATGTGGCACCAATCATGTTGTACAAAAGGGGCACCGATGTGGCACCCGCCCGTTGCCACGCGTAGCTTCCATATAAAGTAGCTAATAACGCTCAGATGCAGCCATAGATTGCGCCTCATGGCTCGCACCGCACATTTTAGAACACACAGGTTGCACCACATAGACTGCACTGCCTAGCTTACGACACATAGCTTACACCGCATCGATCGTATACAATCCTCCCCTGCTTCTTCCTCCTCCTCCTCCTCCACCTCCTCATCATCATCTTCCTCCTTATCCTCCTGAAGTGTCGCCAACTCGCCCGGGATAGCCCGGCGGCAACGCGCATGGGCTGCACGCTATTCTTGCGAGGCGATTCCCACAACGAGGTTTCGCATGGTGCATGCCCGTTGCAACGTGACTTCAGCAGCACAACTTACAATGCTTATCTAAGAACTTCTACGTTGCGCCAAACTTTTTGTATCGCGTAGCTTCCAGCACATGTATTACGCTGCATAGCTTGCACCACACAAGTTGGACTCCATAGCTTACAACACGTATAGCTTACATCACATCGCTTGTATACACTCCTTCCCTGCCTCCTCCTGTTCCTTCTCCTCCCCATCCTCCAAAAATGTCGCCAACGTGATGGGGATAGCGTGGCGGCGACGCGCGTGGGCTCTTGCTCGCACGCGCCTTCCCGATCGTGCACGCTATCCCTGTAGGGCGACCTCTATGCGAGGGATTTTCTGCGCACGCTATCCCCCCTGCCAGGGCTTCCTCCGTGCAGGCTGTCCCACTAGTGGGGGATAGCGTGCAATAAGCGGGCCGGCGGCGCCACTTTCCACGCCATCTTTCCGCCGCGAGAGGGAGGTCGAGGCCAGAATTCGCGCATGTACAGCGCCTGGGAACACGACGTCCCTGGACCCTAGGAGACAACGGACGTTGACATCACTTTGGCCCACCGGGGGGCCCGAGGGTGTCCACATCCGCCGCCCCCTAAGGTCATGGGGCATCGACTCCCAACGAGGTGGACATACACCAATTCTAGCCTCGGAAAGGGGGGTCGAGGAGGCTCGAGGAGGAGGATCGAGGTTCGAGATTGATGATCTTGAACGTTTCTGGGCGTTTCTAAGCCTCCCTGGGCGCTCTCGTCGCCATGGCCGATTTCTCCCCGAAATCATCGGAAGGAAGCATACCAGGAGAAGTGCAGTGGGGAGAGCAAGGTAGAAGAGAAGCCAGGGTCTCTCCTCTTCCTCCTCCTTCTCCTCCTCCTCGTCCACCTCCTCTTTCTCCACCTCATCCTCCGATCACCCTGCTCCTTCGTTTTTCCATCCCTCCCTCCACCCATCCGTCCTCGATCCTCCTCTTCGTCCCTCTCCTCACTCCTCCTTCTCCACATCCTCCTCCTCCTCCTCCTCCTCCTCCTCCTCCTCCTCCTCCTCGTCATCATCCTCACTCGTCTCTCCTTCCCCGTGCCTCTGTCATCATCCTTCTCCTCCATCCCTCCTTCCTTCGTCCCCCCCCCAGAGGAAATGGCAAAGGAGAGCGCAGACGACGGGGCGAGAAGGGGAGCAGGGCACGGAAGCCCCACGAGAGCTGCCGGCGCAACCTCCGCGCGACCGCTCCCCACAAAAACACCAACGACGAAGCAGCTGACAGAGGACCGAAAGAGCCGTCGTCGGCCGAAGGCGGACGGCCCGTGCGCGTGGCACGGCGCGGAATCTGTGCGGGCCCGAAAAAAAAAACGTTGCCTCAGATCCAGCTCACACTCCGCTCACATACGTCCAACGTAACACGAGTCCAAGACAAGGACAACATCGGACCGGGATACATGGGGGATCTCTGAGGTCTAGCGGATCTGGAGGTTCTATCGAAGACCACGGCCGCTCTAAAGTGCTCCGGAACGATCTGAGAGCATTCCGGAACGCTCTAGAACGATTTGTCCCCGTCCTGGCCCCGTCCGACAACGTTTCGCTGTCTGCCAGAACTTCGGAAGTGCGGCTCCGTGCCGCGGTTCCAAAGTGCGAAGAAAAAAGCTACAATACGAGCCCACTCCTCCGACGCCGTGCTTCTTTCCATCACGTTGTCCCCACATTTCTCGGCCCCCTTCCAGGAGCAGTTTTTCGCTCCATGCTCAAATCTGCTCAACAAGGATTCTCCACATGTCGCTCCATCAGACGGCCGCCCCCCACGTGAGCTGAATCCACCCCTAACACGATCCGGCCCCCACGCCCCGCGCCGGATAGGCTAGTTCTACGGTTCTACGTACCCTCCGCAAGACCAACCCACCTCACGCCCACTGAGCAACTCGGAGTATGATGCTTGACGGTCCTGAACCGAAACCGAAAAACAACGCATCAGTTGTTTGGGGATCGGGGGGAAAACACGACGTCGGAGATCTAGGAGCAGAGCGTGGAGGAGAAGGGGAGAAGAGGGAAAGGTCGCGTGGCTACTCAAGACGCTGCCATGCATCGCAGATCGATCAGACGGCCTGCAAGGAGGACGGAGGAATGTGGAGCGAGGAGGGGGGGCGGGAGAAGAGAGGGAGCAGGAGGAGGACGAGGAAGGAGGAGGATAGAGGATGGAGGATGGAGGTTGAGATGGGAGGAGGGAGGAAGGAGGAGAAGGAGATGGAGGAGGATGGAGGAGGAAGGAGGGTAGAAAGAGGAGAAACGACGCTTGGAGCCCTGGCTCCCCCGGCTGGTTAAGCGGACGATGAGGAGGGGAGGGTGGGAGGAGGAGGGGGGCAGGAGGAAGAGGGGGAGAAGACAGCAGGGAATGCACACACACACACACACACACACACATGGATCACGAAGTCGGAATCACCATCTTGAAGCTGCTCAAGAAAGGGAGGGAATACAGACATGAGAGGATTAGGCAAGAGGCGCAGGATGGAGGATGGAGGGAAGGCGATCTCAAAGGTGGCGCATGGAAGGGAGGAAGAAGCAAGGAGGGAGAAGGGAGGGAGGGAATAGGGAAAAAGGGGGGGGAGGGAGAATCAAGGATAGAAAGGGAGGGACGAGAGAAGGAGCAAGGAGAAGGGAGAGGGATCGAGGAGGGAGGAGGAGCGAGCGAGGGATGGTGGAAGAGGCAGGTGGGAGGAGGGAGGGGAGAGGAGCAGGAGAGAAGGGAGGAGGAAGGAGGGAGGAGGGAGGAGGAAGGAAAGGAGGAAAGGAGAGAGGAGGGAGGGAGGGAAAAAGGGAGGAGGGAGGAGGCAGCAGGATGGAGAAACGAGGACGACGACGGCGTGGACGGCAAAAGGCCGGGCGTCCGAGCAGCAAGTGGCAAGCAGAAACCCAGTGGTCATCAGGAACACCTGCCAGCGAGGCTTGGGGCGTCGCCGCCGCCGCCGCCTTCGTCACCGTCGCCGCCTTCGTCCTCGTCCTCGTCCTCGCTGGGCCAACTCACACCAGCCTTCTGTCTCGTTCGCACGGGTACTCCCTAGCTGTGTCGCGTTTGCGTCCTTCCTGCTGGCCCTTCCCGGCGGTCACGCCTCCCCTCCTGCTGCTGAAGGCCTCCGCGTCCGCATCGGGGGATACTGAACTCCTCGCAGCCTGGGCGCTGCACGCCGCGAGGCCTGGGCGCCTTGACCACAACCACTGTCGTCGATCATCGTCAACCGAGCCGGTGGCCCTGACCAGGGGGCGGCGGAGAAAAGCCTAGGGGTGGACGCATTAAGTGCCTGTGCCATTCAGATTTGGCTTCGGCTTCAACTGTGGGTGCACTTCGAAGCGCAGCCCGGCCGGTTCACCCGAGTCGGCTTTCCGCTGGCACTGGTGCCTCCCCCTCCACCTTCCCCGTCCTCATATTTGGGGTCATTATCTGGGCACCCCCCCATTCGTTCGCCGCCGTCCCTGAGGGTTTAGTTTAGTGTTGACAAAGGGGGGCCTGTCTTGAAACAAACTGAGAGTCCGTGCTGCTGCGCCTCCTCCTCCTCCTCCTCCTCCTCCTCCTCCTCCTCCTCCTCCTCCTCCTCCTCCTCCCTCCTCCCCCCTCCTCCCTCTCTCCCCCCTCCCCCTTACTCGTCCCTCCCTCCCTCCTCCCTTCTCCTCCTTCTCCTCCTCGTCCCTCTCTCTCCCTCGTCGTTCTCCTCCCGTCTCCTCCTCGTTCTCCTCCTCGTTCTCCTCTTCTTCTCTCCTCCTCTTTTTCTTCTTCTCTTCTTTTCTTATCCTCCTCCGCCTCCTCCTCCTCCTCCTCCTCCTCCTCCTCCTCCTCCTCCTCCTCCTCCTCCTCCTCCTCCTCCTCCTCCTCCTCCTCCTCCTCCTCCTCCTCCTCCTCTCCCGCCTCCCGCCTCCTCCTCGTTCTCCTCATCGTTCTCTCTCCTCGTCGTCTTCCTCGTCTCCTCCTCGCCTCCTGATTGGTCTCATCCGTCGTCTCCTCCTCCCCTCCTCCTCCTCCTCCTCCTCCTCCTCATCATCATCATCATCATCATCATCATCATCATCATCATCTCATCACATCATCATCATCATCATCATCATCATCCTCGTTTTCCTCCTCCTCCTTCTCCTCCTTCTCCTCCTCCTCCTCCTTCTCCTCCCCCTCCTTCCACAATTACACAATATGAATACTACTCTCCTCTCTCCCCCGGTGACGACTGGGAAATGTCTGGCCCCCTCCGCGTACTGGTTTTTTACACACAGGCTTCCCAGGAGTTGGGTTGTCGCTTGGTTGTTTGTTCACAATGCTGGTTTCGCTGAAGCGCTGGCCTCATTTTCGGGCTACCGCTCATTCCAAATCGTGCTCCCGCTTCAGCGCTGGCCTCACTTCCGCGCTTCCGTTCGTTCCGAGTCGTGCTCCCGCTGCAGCGCTGGCGTCATTATTTCCAGCACCATGCCACGGCATGGTTTTCGGTCCTTTCAAATAAGCTTCAAATCTAGAAAACCCTCCCCCCCGAAACAAACAACCATCGGAAGTGAGTAAACATTGGGTGACGATTCGTTGATTTTTGGGGTCGCCGAAGACCCCCCACACTTTGGGGCGTCGCCACGCTATGCTATGCCAGGGTACTCGTAGATATTCAGCACCATGTTATGCCATGTGATGCTATGCCCTGCTACGACATCGGACTGTGCGAATAGACAGGATATCTACGCCATGGCAAAGGATGGGAGTGAGGGGTAGGACGTCAGATATGACGTGACCGCACCTAGTTTGTCCTCCTCCCCCTCCCCCATACTCCTCCTCCTCCTCCTCCTCCTCCTCCTCCTCCTCCTCCTCCTCCTCCTCATCCTCCTCCTGCTCCTCCTCATCCTCCCTCCCCTCTTCCTTTTCCTCCTCCTCCTCCTCCTCCTCCTCCTCCTCCTCCTCCACTTCGTTCATCGCCCATCGTTTCTCGCTGTTCGCCCCTCGCATATCGCGTTCCTCGAACCTGTTCTTCCTCCTCCTCCTCGTCATCATCAACAACACCATCATCAGCAGCAGCAGCAGTAACATCATCATCACCATCTTCACCAGCATCCGCATCACCACCATCATCAACAGCAACATCCACATCATTTCACCAGCAGCATCAGAAGCATCATCTTCATCAGTTTCAGCATCATCAGCAACATCAGCATCAGCATCAACATCATTCGCAACATCATCATCACCGGCAGCATCACCACCATCGAACACCAGCATCACCGCCATGACCTTCGGCATCATCTTCATAATCAGCACCATCATCAAAGTCACTATCAGCAGCATCAGCATCAAAACCATCAACATCCTCAGCTCCATCAGCATCAGCAGCCACATCCGCATTATCATCGTCATCATCATCATCATTGCCATCACCACTACCAGCACGAACAGCATCATCAGCAGCAGTATCAGCATAATCATGAACACCATCGTAATCAGTATCACCACCACCACCATCACCGTCATCGTCATAATCAGAACCAGCATAATCGCCATCATGGTTATCACCACAAGCATCATCATCATCATCATCACCACCATACTCATCAGCATCACCATCATCAGCAGCACCTCCAGCATCATCACCATCACCACCATCACCGTCGTAAGTTTCATCATCCGTGTCACCATCGTAGCCAACAGCATAATCACCACCATCGTCGCCATCACCATCAACAACATCATAATCAACAGCATGAGCACCGTCACCATTATCATCAACAGCATCGTCGTCATCATCCTCATCCTCGAACAACGACGACGACGAGGAGCATGGAAGGTGTGGGAAGGGCGCGCCGCCAGCGTAGCCACCGGCATCGCGACCGCGCCCTGCCGCAGTAAGTGCGGGAAGACCTCGCGGACAGGGTTGGGCGGCGGCGGCTGCGACTGCGGCTGCGGCTGCGGCGGCGACTGCGAAGGCGAAGGCGAAGGCGGCGACCGCGACGGCGACGGCGACGGCGACGGCGACGGCGACGACGACGTTGACGACGACGACGACGACGACGACGACGACGACGACGACGACGACGACGACGACGACGGCGACGCTTCTCGACGCTTTTCGACGGTGCCCCGAGGGCCCCCTCGGGGCAGCGCCGCGCTCGCACAGTGGGCGCGCGCAGCGCGGGCCCTCTCAGGCCCTGGCCAATGCTCCTCGGGGCTGGGCGAACCCGCCACCACCCCAGGCCCCCACGCCTCGACGGCTAGGCGGCTCCGCCACCGCCGTCGAGGCCCCGCGTTCCTCACCTCGGGGCTAGGCGATACGCCGCAGCCCCAGGCAGCCTCCGTCTCCGCGCGCGCCTCGTACTCCGCGATGAGCCTGTCAGCAACCACCAGCGGGTCCTCGCGCAGCGTCCACTTGGACACCCGCGAAGCGGATCTCGCTTTCCTCCGACTCAACGTCGCCCTCGCCCTCGTCGTTGAAGTCGCTCCCGCGCTCGCCCCCCGCCGTGGCGCCGAGCGGAGGCTTACGTCGAGCCCGCCGTTGCCACGCAGGTCGTCGCCACTGAGCCCGCCGCCCCCCGCGGCGCCAAGGTTGCCCGAGGCGCTCCCGCCGAGCTCACCGCCGACGTCCGCGTCTACGACGATCGTCTCGACGCCCTTCACGCCTACCAGATCGTTCTTTTCCGAGCCCTCCGTCTTGCCGACGCCCTCCGACTCCCCCGTCGCCGCCCCGACGTCGATCCCAGCCTTGACCTGCAGCTCCTCCTCGTCGTCGTTTGCCCCGTCGTCCGAGGCGCCTACATTCTCTTCCGCGCCCGCCACGGCGCTGCGCTCCGCCAGCCGCCAAAACGCCCCCAGGCCATCAGCGTAAGCCACAGCTTGCGGGCGCGCGCCCGGCTCCAGCCACAGCACGGGCGCGAGCGCCCAGAGTACGCGCCCATCAGTTTCACTTTCCAGGTCGAGCTGGCCGAAGACCTGCCCCTCCTCGTCCTGTTTCTTCTCAGTGGTGGCTCCGTCCACCGCCAGCCAGTCCAGCATCGCCTGCACGTCGGCGCCAGGGCTCGGCGCCTCCCGCGGCACTGCCGCCCGCCAGCGGTCCTTGCACGCATACCTCCACCTCGAAGTCTTGCTCGCCCGACTCCACGCGCCGCAGCCTCTGCATCGCCGTCGGCCTGCGCCCTTCCAGCATGGCAGCGAGCGCGGGCACGCAGGCCGCCAGACGGTCCGCGAGGCCCTCGCCTTCAACCACCGCGCCGAGCGCCTCCCGGGCGGCGTCCAAGCTGGGCATTCAACTCATCCACTTCCATTGTGCGCCGCTGCACGAGCCTGTCCGCTGAGTCCCTGGCTCAAGCCACTCTCCCTCCTCGACGTCGCCGCCGCTTGGCGCCCTCCAGTGGCGCCTCCCGCAGCCATCGTGCCCGCGCCGCCCGGCAGGGGGTTCGAGCCAGCTTGAGCCAAAAGGGCTACGGACCACGACGGCGACGACGACGAGCAACGACGAGAACGGCGGCGGCGGCGGCAGCGGCGGCAGCGGCGGCAGCGGCGGCAGCGGCGCGCGCCACTCCTCCTCCTCCTCCTCCTCCTCCTCCTCCTCCTCCTCCTCCTTCTCCTCCGCCTCCTCCTCCGCTCTATGATAAAGCCTATGTATATCATTATTCGTATTTGTCTTCTATTATTGTGATTATGCTCATGCTTGTGCTTATGATGATGCTTATGTTTCTGCTTATGCTTACTATCATTATTATTATTATTATTATTATTATTATTAGTATTATTATTAGTTATTAGTATTATTATTAGTATTATAGTATTACTAGTGTTATTATTAGTATTAGTATTACCAGTATTGTTATTATTAGAATTATTATTAGTAGTATTGTTGTTAGTATTATTATTATTAATAATACTAATAGTAATAAAAATAAAAATAATAATAATACGAATAATATTAATAATAATACTAAAAATAATATTATTATGAGTATTATTATTATTATCATTCCTACTCCTCCTCCTCCTCCTCCTCCTCCTCCTCCTCCTCCTCCTGCTCCTCCGCCTCCTCTCCTCTGCCCCCTCCGCCTCCTCCCCGGCGCGTCCTCCTCATCCTCCACACCGCCTCCGCCTCCTTCCCCACCTCCTCCTCCTCTGCCTCCGCCTCCGCCGCCGCCTCCGCCTCCGCCTCCACGCCTTTCGGCCTCCGCTCCGCCTTCGCACCCTTCCTCTCCTCCAACTCCAACTCCTATCCTCCTCCGTCCTCCTCCCCTCCTCATCCTCCCCTCCTCCGCATCCGCATCCTCATCCTCCTCCTCATCCTCATCCTCCTCCTCCGGGGCCTCCTCCTCCTCGCCTCGTCCTCTCCGCGTACTCCGACTCGCCCCGTCTTCGTCTTCGTCCTCTGTCTTCCTCTTCTCCTCATTCGACTCCCTCCTCCCTCCTTCCCTCACTGTCTCCTCATCCTCCTCCTCCTCTCTCTTCCCTCTCATCTCCGTTCCCCTCCCGCGCCCGCATTTCCCCTCCCACTCCCCCTCCCCTCCCCCCTCCTCCACCTCCTCCCACCTCCCCCCCCTCCGCCTCCTCCTCCTCTCCCCTCCTCCTCTGTTCCTACTCGAACCTCCTCCTCCTCCTCCTCCTCCTCCTCCTCCTCCTCCTCCTCCTCCTCCTCCTCCTCCTCCTCCCCACCTCCTCCTCCTCCTCCTCCTCCTCCTCCTCCTCCTCCTCCTCCTCCTCCTCCTCCTCCTCCTCCTCCTCCTCCTCCTCCTCCTCTTGTGTTTAATTATTTTGTTGAGTATCTCAGTCGGTGTTTGGTTGTTGTGACAGATGTTTCAAATGGACAACAGAAAGTAATGAATAAGATAATGAGCACCACAATCATCAACAAAATAAACCAAACAATGAGTCACAATAAGATTATCTGTGCACAAATACTGCATCCGTCATCAGATTCCTCATCATCATCGTTCTCATCCCCATCATCATCATCATCATCATCATCATCATCATCATCATCATCATCATCATCATCATCATCATCATCATCATCATCATCATCATCATCATCATCATCATCATGCATCCCTTCACCAAAGTCCTCGTCAGCATCGTTATCAACCCCATCGTCGTCATCATCATTATCATCATCATCATCATCATCATCGATCATCAACATCACATCATCATCAATCATCATCATCATCCACGTCATCAGCATCATCATCATCATCAGTCATCACATCAATCATCATCAACTCATCATCATCATCATCAGCATCATCACATCAGCATCATCAGCGATCAGATTCCAGCCATCATAAACGTACATCGCAATCATCATCATCATCATCATCATCATCGCATCTCAAGCATCGTCAGCATCGTCATCACATCAGCCTTCAGCATCAGGATCAGCATCAGCACAGCATCCAGCATCATGCAACATCATCATCATCATCCATCATCTTCATCATCATCTCATCATCATCACCATCAGCATCATCAGCATCAGCATCATCATCATCATCATCATCGATCAGCAGCAGCATCATCATCACATTGTAATCATCCGCATCATCATCAGCAGCATCAAATCAGCATCATCATACGTCGTCGTCATCATCATCATCATCATCATCTCATCATCATCAGCAGCATCAGCATCATAACAGCATCAAACATCAGCATCAGCATCAGCATCTCATCCTCCTTCATCCACCATCAGCATCATCATCATCAGGCCAATCATCATCGTCATCATCAGCATCATCATCATCATCATCATCCTCATCGTCATCATCATCAGCATCATCATCACCATCCTCATCAACAAGCAGCATAGCATCAGCATCAGCATCAGCATCAGCATCAGCATTAGCATCAGCATCAGCATCAGCATCAGCATCAGCATCAGCATCAGCATCAGCATCAGCATCAGCATCAGCATCATCACCATCACCATCACCATCACCATCACCATCACCATCACCATCACCATCACCAGCGCTCAATCGGTCCAGGCCCTCATACGGTCCCCGGCCCCTCCTCCTCCTCCTCCTCCTCCGCCGCCTCCGCCGCCTCCGCCTTCGCCTCCTCCTCCGCCTCCTCCTTCTCCTCGGGAGGGCGACCATGCAGAAGTACAACGAGCACGGCACGAGGATGCAGGTCCAGGCGCACAAGTTGGGGACCTCCGAGCGGGCCCGCCGGGGGGCGAAGAAGAGGAAGAGGAGACAGAGATGACGGAGTACGACAAATAGACGAAGCAGAAACAGACGCTCCTGGCAAAACCCCCCGATGGTGAAAACCGCCAGTTCTCTGGTTGACGCGAGTGGAACTCCACATTGCTAGAACAGGCCGAAAATTATCCTGGCAAAAGACCCAACCATATGCAATTGTGAGTACCGCAGTTGTGAATATCTTCTTCGGTGGAGCCCCCTACGGGGCCACGAAACGTACGAGAGGTGTGCCGAAATGGGTGTGCGGGACGCGTGCGCGCACACCCACTGGGGCCTTCGGTGGAGCTCCCTATGGGACCACAAAACGTGCGAGGGGTCACGAAACGCGTGAGGGGTGTGCCGAAATGAGTGTGCGGGACGCATGCGGGCACACCCACTGGGGCCTTCGGTGGAGCTCCCTTTGGGGCCACGGAACGTGTGAAGGGTATGCCGAAATGGGTGTGCGGGACGCATGCGGGCGGCAGCACTGGGACCTTCGGTGGAGCCCCTCTACGGGGCCACGAAACGTGCGAGGGGTGTGCCGAAATGGGCGTGCGGGACGCATGCGGGCACACCCATTGGGGCCTTCGGTGGAGCTCCCTATGGGACCACGAAACGTGTGAGGGGTCACGAAACGCGTGAGGGGTGTGCCGAAATGGATGTGCGGGACGCATGCGGGCACACCCACTGGGGCCTTCGGTGGAGCTCCCTATGGGGCCACGAAACGTGTGAAGGGTATGCCGAAATGGGTGTGCGGGACGCATTCCCTATGGGGCCACGAAACGCGTGAGGGGTGTGCCGAATTGGGTGTGCGGGACGCATGCGGGCGGCAGCACTCTGGGGCCTTCGGTGGAGCTCACTATGGGGCCACGAAACGTGTGAGGGGTGTGCCGAAATGAATGTGCGGGACGCATGCGGGCGGCAGCACTGGGGCCTTCGGCGGAGCTCCCTTTGGGGCCACGAAACGTGTGAGGGGTGTGCCGAATTGGGTGTGGGTGACGCATGCGGGCGGCAGCACTGGGGCCTTTGGCGGGGCTCCCTATGGGGCCACGAAACGTGTGAGGGGTGTGCCGAATTGAGTGTGCGTGACGCATGCGGGCGGCAGCACTGGGGCCTTCGGTAGAGTCCCCTATGGGGCCACGAAACGTGTGAGGGGTGTGCCGAAATCGGTGTGCGGGACGCATGCGGGCGGCAGCACTGGGGCCTTCGGCGGAGCTCCCTATGGGGCCACGAAACGTGTGAGGGGTGTGCCGAACTGGGTGTGCGTGACGCATGCGGGCGGCAGCACTGGGGCCTTCGGCGGAGCTCCCTATGGGGCCACGAAACGTGTGAGGGGTGTGCCGAATTGGGTGTGCGTGACGCATGCGGGCGGCAGCACTGGGGCCTTCGGCGGAGCTCCCTATGGGGCCACGAAACGTGTGAGGGGTGTGCCGAATTGGGTGCGTGACGCATGTATGCGCCACGAGACGTGTGAGGGGTGTGCCGAATTGGGTGTGGGTGACGCATGCGGGCGGCAGCTGGGGCCTTCGGCGGAGCTCCTATGGGGCCACGAAACGTGTGAGGGGTGTGCCGAATTGGGTGTGGGTGACGCATGCGGGCGGCAGCACTGGGGCCTTCGGCGGAGCTCCTATGGGGCCACGAAACGTGTGAGGGGTGTGCCGAATTGGGTGTGGGTGACGCATGCGGGCGGCAGCACTGGGGCCTTCGGTGGAGCTGGGGCCACGAAACGTGTGAGGGGTGTGCCGAATTGGGTGTGGGGACGCATGCGGGCGGCAGCACTGGGGCCTTCGGCGGAGCTCCTATGGGGCCACGAAACGTGTGAGGGGTGTGCCGAATTGGGTGTGGGTGACGCATGCGGGCGGCAGCACTGGGGCCTTCGGCGGAGCTCCTATGGGGCCACGAAACGTGTGAGGGGTGTGCCGAATTGGGTGTGGGTGACGCATGCGGGCGGCAGCACTGGGGCCTTCGGCGGAGCTCCTATGGGGCCACGAAGCGTGTGAGGGGTGTGCCGAATTGGGTGTGGGTGACGCATGCGGGCGGCAGCACTGGGGCCTTCGGCGGAGCTCCTATGGGGCCACGAAACGTGTGAGGGGTGTGCCGACTTGGGTGTGGGTGACGCATGCGGGCGGCAGCACTGGGGCCTTCGGTGGAGCTCCTATGGGGCCACGAAACGTGTGAGGGGTGTGCCGAATTGGGTGTGGGTGACGCATGCGGGCGGCAGCACTGGGGCCTTCGGCGGAGCTCCTATGGGGCCACGAAACGTGTGAGGGGTGTGCCGAATTGGGTGTGGGTGACGCATGCGGGCGGCAGCACTGGGGCCTTCGGCGGAGCTCCTATGGGGCCACGAAACGTGTGAGGGGTGTGCCGAATTGGGTGTGGGTGACGCATGCGGGCGGCAGCACTGGGGCCTTCGGCGGAGCTCCCTATGGGGCCACGAAACGTGTGAGGGGTGTGCCGAATTGGGTGTGGGTGACGCATGCGGGCGGCAGCACTGGGGCCTTCGGCGGAGCTCCTATGGGGCTACGAAACGCTGTACTGGGTGGGTGAAACGCAGGGAAGAGGGGGAGGAGGGAGGAGGAGGGGGAGGAGGAGGAGAGGAGAGGAGGAGAGGAGAGGAGAGGAGGACGCGGGGACCGTCTCTTCAAAACGAGGACCCAACACCACAGGATCGTTGGGAAAAAAGGATCACAATGTGTGAGAGACGGGCAGCATATCGAAAGGACAGAGCAATTGCCAAAAACGGCCGGGGAGGAACTTAACCCGAAGCCGTGGTGCACGAGCAGATGCGCCGCGCGTGCCTCCCCTGTGGTCGGACCACCTAAACAACTACGCCACGCGCCATGGCAGCGCACGGTCACCACTGCGCATGGCACATTCACGGCCCTGCAGGACCGCAGGCTGATGGACACATGCCCAAGTTCCTGACGCGCCCGGGAGAAGAGGAGCAGGAGAAGGAGGGACGAACAAAACAAATAGACGCTTAATCCCCAAACCCTTGTCTCCTCCGCATTCCCCTACCCTCCCCCATCCCTTCTCCACCGCCCCCGCCCCGCTGACTCGATTTGACGCCCTTCTCCCTCCACACTCTCCTGTCCCCCCTGCACCTACCCCGCCCTGCTTGAACACCTGGTCCTCTCCTTCCCTGCCTCCCCCCCCCTTCCGCCGCCCATTACGCAGCCGCCCCTCCACCCTCTACCCTCTCAATCCACTCCCTCTCTTCCTCTCTCTCAATCTCTCTCGCTCTCTTTTTGTTTCTCTCTCTCTCTCTCTCTCTCTCTCTGTCTCTCTCTGTATATATATATATATATATATGTATATCCATGTCCCTCTCTCTCTCTCTTTCTCTCGCTCGTCCTCTCTCTCTCTCTCTATCTCGATATGTGTTTCTCGATATTATTATTGCTCTCTCTCTCTCTCTCTCTTGTTCCTCTCTCTCTCTCTCTATCCCCCCCTCTCCCTCTCATGGTTTGTTTCTCTCTCTCTATATATATATATATAGATCCCTCTCTCTCTCGTTCTCTCGTTCTCTCTCTCTCTCTCTCTCTCTCTCTCTCTCTCTCTCCCACTATAAGTATCGCTCCCCCTCGATATATAAATATATACATATCTATAGATGTATATATATATATATATATATGTATGCCTCCCTCTCTCTCTCTCTCTCTCTTTATGTATCTCTCTCTCTCTCTCTCCCTCTCTCTATCTCTCTCTCTCTCTCTCTCTCTCTCTCTCTCTCTCTCTCTCTCTCTATATATATATGTGTGTGTGTGTTTGTTTGTCGCTGTCTCTCTCTCTCTTGTTTTATATCGCTCTCTCCCTCTCTCTCTCTATTGTCGCCCTCTCTCTCTCCCTCTCTTTCTCTCTCTCTGTCTCCGTCTCTTGTTCTCTCTCTCTCTCTCTCTACATATATATATAGATGTATATATATATATATATAAGGATTCCGTTCTATGTGTGCCTCTCTCGCTCTTTCTCGACGCTGCGGCTGCGGCGAACAAGGCCAGAACATGCATATGCGCACGTTCAAAAATGCACGCGCGCGGACGTACACGCCGCCTGCACACGCACACACACACACGCACACACAAGCATACGCACATGATCAGCACACGCGCGTAGATGTCTGCATAACGCACGTTTACGTGCATGGTTATATCTGCGTCCACAGATACCACTTCGTAATCAGATACGAAGACACAGGCATACATTATGGCACAAGCATGAGCACATGCACCTGCAACTATACACAGACGAACACATACCAGCATGCGTGTGTATAAATGTATGTATGCGTATATGCATGTGTATATAAATATATGCCGACGTACACAAACGTGCGCATATACACATACACATACACATGCACCTAAACATATTCATAAAGCCATACACATAGTGATGCACGTAAATGTTTACACATTCAAATACATATACATATATACATGTATTTCCAATGGCATATACATAACACGATATTGGTGCATAAACCTATACACTTGCACATCCATGTATATATATATATATGTGGAGATGCATAACTACATGTATAGGTACGTAGCCAGCTACACATACAGATGATATCATATAAACGCATACATATGCATACATCTTGACATATACACTGACGTAGTCACATACATATTCATACACCTATGCATAGATGCATGGAGATTACACAGATATACGTAAACATCTACACATGCACATACATATGCATTTATATACAAACGTACAGGTACACATACACAGATACACATACGTAGATTTCGACATGTACATTGTACATGTGCATCTACATGGTAATATGCATTTACCTTCACACACACACACATACCACCATAAACATATACATGCACACGAATCGTCACTTCTACATTTACATGTAAACACGCACATGTGTGCATGAGCATGCGCGCATCTACATATATACATGTTACACACACACGCACACACGCGCGCCTGCCCCCCCCCCG